AGGAAAGACCCAACAGGAAGGGCAGAAGGAGGGCGACACGCTTCCCAGGAGCCCAGGAGAAAAGGTCAAGAAGCTGAGGCCCTGCCACAGCCCTGCATTCTCCCAAACTCCAACCTTATTGGAGACGGTATCTTCCCAGCCTGCGTCTGAGCCTCCTTCCCCTCGCTCCTCCCACACCCACAGAGAACTGGTCTCCGTCAGGTGTGGCCCTCTTGGTTTCCCAGTGCCGGAGGCAGCTGTGGAGAGAGAAGCCCAGGAGGGGCAGGAAGGGAGGGAGGGGCAGAGCCCTGGCTGCACGCACAGGATTGGATGGCTTGTGCCCTCTCAGCCAGCCCCTGACTAGAAGGTTTCTCAAAGAGACGGTGACCTCGGCCGCTGCCCTGAGCTCTGCCCGTCTCTGCCATGAGGCGGGCACCTCCTGGGCAGAGTGGGCCACGGGGGCCATCCTGAAGCAGCGGTGAGGCGGGAGGAGGCCGTCAGGCCCCGTGAGGGAGGGCGCCATGGACAAGTTCCGGATGATTTTCCAGTTCCTGCAGTCCAACCAGGAGTCCTTCATGAATGGCATCTGCGGCATCATGGCACTGGCCAGCGCCCAGATGTACTCTGCCTTCGATTTCAACTGCCCCTGCTTGCCCGGCTACAACGCAGCCTACAGCGCGGGCATCCTGCTGGCGCCCCCGCTGGTGCTCTTCCTGCTCGGCCTGGTCATGAACAACAACGTGTCCATGCTGGCCGAAGAGTGGAAGCGGCCCCCGGGCCGCCGGGCAAAAGACCCTGCCGTGCTGCGCTACATGTTCTGCTCCATGGCCCAGCGGGCCCTCATCGCTCCCGTCGTCTGGGTGGCCGTCACACTGTTGGATGGCAAGTGCTTCCTCTGTGCCTTCTGCACTGCCGTGCCCGTGACTGTGCTGGGCAACGGCAGCCTGGCGCCCGGCCTGTCCCCACCCGAGCTCGCCCGCCTGCTAGCCCGGGTGCCCTGCCCCGACATCTATGACGGCGACTGGCTGCTGGCCCGCGAGGTGGCCGTGCGTTACCTGCGCTGCATCTCCCAGGTGAGGGGGTGCCACGGCCTTGGCATGGGTCTCCCCTCACAGCCTGGGGTCCCTCTGGCAAGGCCCAATCCCTCGCTTCTTGAAACGGGGCTTTCTCAGGGTACAGTCGTGTTTCTCAATGGATTGGAGCTCCCCAGACTGGGCTGGGTCTCCCCCTCAGACGGAGCTCTTTGGGACAGGGGCGTATTTTCCCAACTGAGGCCAGGACTTCTGAAGGCAGAGCCGTGTGTCTTCCCTGGATCAGCACCACCTGGGAAAAGTGATGTGGCTACCTCAGCCCAGAGGCCTGTCCTGTCTCGAGACCCCTAGAGTGGACCCAACAGCTCAGGCAGCCCCACCTTCTCCATCCTGAGCGCCGGCTTAGAAGCCTGGTGTATTTGCATCCTTTTCTTCTTCCAGGCCGGGGCGGTGGCGAGGCAGGTGGGTGGCTGGGCCATTTGGGTACATTTCCCTGGCAAATGCCCCCAGTAGGTGCCCCTCTGCTCAGGGAGTGGGATCCGAGGGTCCTGGGTCCCCTGGAAGGGAGGGTTTGGGGAGGGGATGTACTGTTGGGATGCACCCTAAAGGCAAGGGTGGAGGGCCCACTGATGGGCCAGAGCTTGGTCCTCCCCAGCCCCACTCCCTCATCCTCTGCCCCCTGGACGTCCCCCACCTAAGCCCCCAGGCCTCCCCTGCAGTCGCTGCAGCACGGGGAGGAAGCGGCAGCAGGCCCTGGCAGCAGATGGACCAGGGGCTGTCAGGGGAGGGGCAGGGGGCCGGGCCTGCCCTGCCAGGGCTAGAGAAACACTGTGCTCTGGCAAGTCCAGACCCTTGGCTCCCCATCTCCGGCCCTCCCGTGGGGCCCGTGTCACCACCACCACATGGATGTCGCACTCTGAGTGTACGAGCTCTGCTTCCCTCCCAAACCACTCCCTCCCTTGTGGACACTTGTGCCATCATGCCAGGCCTCAGGGCCTGGGGCAACTGTCTCTCCACCCGACGTTTAAACCACTGCATCATAAACTAAAGGGTCCCCCAGGGGACACGCTGCCTGGCCTATAGACATGTTTCATCTGGCCTTCCAAGTGAATTCAAAATTCAATTTTGGAATTGGTCTGAAAACCTCCTCTGAAAACCAGAAATTTTCCCATAAAATTCAGATTTCTGGCTTTACTTAAAACCTGAAGATATCTTGGGGCGCCTGGGTGGCTCAGTTGGTTGAGCGACCGACTTCGGCTCAGGTCACGATCTCACGGTTTGTGAGTTCGAGCCCCGCATCGGGCTCTGTGCTGACAGCTCGGAGCCTGGAGACTGCTGCGGATTCTGTCTCCCTCTCTCTCTCTCTCTGCCCCTCCCCCACTCATGCTCTGTCTCTCTCTCTCTCTCTCTCTCTCTCTCTCTCTCTGTCAAAAATAAATCAACATTAAAAAAAAAATTAAAAAAAAAAAAAACATATGAAGATCTCCAGCCCCACGGGGTGCGCATTTCCTCTCGGAGCAGCACAGGGGATGCCTGCTCCCCCCGACCAAGCACGTGCTCTGCAGCTCCCCAGCCCGTGTGTGCTCTGCCACAACACCAGCTCCAATTACAGGCACTTACCTCGCATCCTGATCCAGCCAGACACTTCTCTGTGCAGCTGGGGGCTGATCCAGAAGCCCAGGTTAGGAGAGCGTCCTGCCCCGGGCCTGACTGAACTATCAGCAGAGCACATCTGGCACCCAAGCATCTAGGGCTCTCCAGCACAGAGTCTGAGCAACTGTCTTATTTGTCTCCGTGACCCTTGAGGGCCCAACTCAGAGCCCACACAGAGAAGCCTCGTGTAGTGCTAGCTACTGAAAGGCAGACAATGCCAGGAGCCAGAGGACAGGTACCAGACTCAGAGGACGAAGGGTCACTCTGGCTCTGGGAGGTGAACGAGGACATAGTAATAGTGGCTAACAGTTCCTGAGCGCTAAGCACGTACCAGGCTGTGTGCCGTGTATTATTACATTTAGTCCTCGCAGAAACCCTATGAGATATGTACCGTCAACAACCCCATTTTATACGTGGGGAAACTGAGGCACAGAGAAGCCAGACACCTTGCTCCTGGTCAACTGGTAAGGACTGGAGACAGGGTCCAAAGCCAGGCAGCCTGATTCCAAGGTGTGCCCAGCTAACTCCTGTGCACTGAGTGCCAGGCCCACACGTCGGGCATTTTACTCACATGATCCCATTTCCATGCCCATTTGACAGAAAAGGAAATGGAGGCCAAGAGGTAAGATCATTTGTCCTGTCAGTCCTCTTTTCCCTAAAGGCCCTGACATACAGAGTGCTTTGGGGGGTTTAGCCAGGCTTGGGATGCTGGAGAGCAATGCCAGCCGACTCCCTCCTCTCTCCCCTGCAGGCACTGGGCTGGTCCTTCGTGCTGCTGACCACACTGCTGGCATTCGTGGTGCGCTCTGTGCGGCCCTGCTTCACACAGGCCGCCTTCCTCAAAAGCAAGTACTGGTCCCACTACATCGACATCGAGCGCAAGCTCTTCGATGAGACGTGCACAGAACATGCCAAGGCCTTCGCCAAGGTCTGCATCCAGCAGTTCTTCGAGGCCATGAACCACGACCTGGAATTGGGTCACACCCACGGGGCACTGGCCACGGCCCCCGCCGGCTCGGCTGCCCCAGCGCCCCCCGAGGGTGCTGAGGAGGAGAGGGAGAAGCTCCGTGGCATCACGGATCAAGGCGCCGTGAACAGGCTGCTCACGAGCTGGCACAAATGCAAGCCGCCCCTGAGGCTGGGCCAGGAGGAGCCGCCGGTGGGCAACGGCTGGGCGGGGGGCGGGCCCCGGCCTCCACGCAAGGAGGTGGCCGCCTACTTCAGCAGAGTGTGAGCTGTGGCCAAGCGGAGAGGCGAGAGAGGGGGTCTGAGCCCATGGCCTCTCAGACCCCCAAACCAGATGGGAAGATGAAGTCTGCAGGTTCTGGGCGATAGGCCCCCGGAGCAGACCCACATGCATTTACCTGCCACTGAGGCAGGAAATTTGGAGCTGGATGAGGACCTTAGTCCTCCAGCTGTGACACAGCAATATGAGTCAGAAGGGCTCAGAACTGGCTCGTGGTGGGGGCAAACTCCCACCTGACCAGCCCCTCCCAAGCCACTTCACCCCTGCTTCGCTATCTCCTCTCAGGTTCTACAACCATCCTTGCTCTGGATTGCTACCGTCTCTGCTCCCTTATGCGCAAGTCTCAGGGAGTGGGGGGGAGGGGGACGTCCAGTCATCTCACAAAGCAGGAATCCTGATTTGGGTCAGTATCCTGAACGAGGCTGAGAGTGGGCCGTGAGGACATGGCCCACAGCCTCACCCGATGTCGCATACCTGCAGTGCTAGGTGATGACACAAGATGCCAGAAGTTCTGTCTACTTAGGGGAAGCCAGAGTGCGTGGTCACCACAGAGGCCACCCAACAACTTGAGTATATTTATTTAGTGCTGAGCACAAGTCTTCCTGCCTTAGCCATTTGAGCTGCTGTAACAAAATACCACAGACTGAGTAGCTTATAAACAACAGAAATTTACTTCTCACACTTCTGGAGGCTGGAAGTCCAACATCACGGCACCGGCACGGTCACGTTCTGATGGAGGCCATCTTCTTTGTTCAAAGCCGGCAACTTCTCAAGGGAGCTCTCTGGAGCCTCTGGTCAAGGCACTAATCCCACTCATGAGGCTCTGCCTTCATGACTTAAGCACCTCCCAGAGGCCCCTCCCCCTAGTACCATCACCCTAGGGGGTTAAGATTGAGCACATGAATGGGGGCGGGGGGGGGG